GTTTGCTGAGTCCTTTTTCTTGCCCTTCTTGAACATCAGTGTCATTTGCCTTTCTCCAGTCTTCAGATGCTTCTCTCAGTTGCCATAATTGATCAATGATTATCAAGAATGGCCTTGCAGTGCCACCTGCCAGCTTCCTTAAAGCTCAGGTGTACATCCTGTCAGGGTTCATGGACTTCTATGTCCCATTTGCCTAAGTATTTAGTGAACTCCAAGGGTAGATCTTCCTTGCTTCAGCCTTTCCCCCTGGTCACTGGGACCTGAGATTCCTATCTTGCAAGGTATCAGTTAACATGACTTCCAAATTCAAAGAGCATGTGGGATAGGAGGGACTCTTCGCTAGGGACTGTAGTGATAGGACAAGGGGTAATGGATCAAAACTTAAACAAGGGAAGTTTAGATTGGATATAAGGAAGAAGTTCTGTACTGTAAGGGTGCTGAGGCACTGGAATGGGTTGCCCAGGGAAGTTGTGAATGCTCCATCCCTGGCAGTGTTCAAGGCCAGGCTGGACAGAGCCTTGAGTGGCATGGTTTAGTGGGAGGTGTCCCTGCTCATGGCAGGCAGGTTGGAACTAGATGATCTTAAGATCATTTCCAACCCTAAATATTCTATGATTCTATAATACGGACCTGTGCCTGTGAGAACAGTCACCAATTTTGGTACAAATATGAAAGGGTTCAACAGAAGCCTTTTAAATAGCGGCTATATTTCCATTGTTCATGCTTTGTACTGTACAACCGATCCATTCTTATCATATTGTAATGCTGCATTTAGATAAAAATACTTCACAATAACTGTAAATGCTGACAGTTCCTGGTACAAGAAGATAACTGCCACTTTACTTGGTCTGTTTCTAAAGACATGTTACACTGAAGGTACTTTGCTTTCTCAGATACAAGTTCAGCAATACTTTCAGCTTTTTTTTATTTTTTCCCATAACTTGGTCTAAAAAATACATTTTTGCAAAAGAAAATGTTGTGGAGATTTTGAATTTCAATACAATACCTATTTTCTACTGAGACCATAAGATGGTACCTGAAACAGGAGACATAAACATTTATGGATCTATTATTTAAACAATGCATCATGACAGTAGTGCCTGAGAGGGAAGACAATGAGCATAAGCTGAAATGAGATTTAGCCTGGACAGACATTTTCTCCCCTTGCAGAGAGCGAGGCAGTGCCACAGTGTGCTTTGTGAGATTGCACAGTCTCCATTCCTGGAATTTTTCAAGCCCTGAGCAATCTGGTCTGATCTCACAAGTGACTCAGCTTTTGAGGAGCTTCTTAGACTAGAGACCCAAGGACCCTTTTAACTTGAATTACCCTGGAATTCTGTCAGATGTATTTCATATATTTTGTCAATATTTTAAAATTAAGAGTTTTTTGAGGTTCACAGTATTTTATTTAACTTTTCAGGTGCCAGGTGCACCACATGGAAGATCCTGCCTCTGTCTACAGTGACTTAATGGATTTGATTGTAAAACTTGCCAATCATGGTTTGATTCATGGCGATTTCAATGAATTTAATCTCATATTGGATAATGATGACCATGTCACTATGATTGATTTCCCTCAGATGATATCAACATCACACACAAATGCCGAATGGTAGGTTCAAATTTAAAGATGTTTTCTAAGTAAATCTGACAAGTGCTTGTGACAGTAAATTGTCAACCATTATTTGTTTCCATACACCTGTCTCTGATGCTTTTTCTACCATTGTTGTCAGGCAGCATGAATAACATTTCAAACATAGTTTGATTTATGAAGGAGTAGAAATGTCTCTTTAGGATAAATAAATAATTCACTGCTTCTCAGATAGAATGATGTTTTTTAGTTAAGAAATGCTTAGAAATAAACTGCATGCAGTTTTTTTCACTATCCTTTTGTCTTGGGATCACTAACAAATAATTTTCAAATGAACTCAGTATAAGGTGAGAAATATACGGTAAAAGTTTGTCATTGCAGTAGACTTCATTACCTTGATTTTGTGCTTGTACAATTCTGTGTTTTTTTTCTTTTCAGGTATTTTGACAGAGATGTGAACTGTATTAAGGAGTTCTTTAAGAAACGCTTCAACTACGAGAGTGAGGTCTTCCCAGAATTCAAAGATGTCAGGTATAAACTTCCAGATGAATTTGAGTTTCCTATTTGTTCTGGTTTTATGAGAAAAATGGGTGTCTGTAGGATACCTGTAGAAGAAATTAAAGACAAAAAATTAAAATATGCCCAACTGTGCATTTTTTAGATTATATTTTTGTCATTCCTATTATGTTTTCTTCAACCAGAGTTACTGTAAGTGGCTTCCAGAAAGCCAGGGCATGCTTTAAAATCAGCTATTGCCTCCTTTGTCTTTCCTCTTGCAGCTAAGGAAGAAAGATCCATCCAAAAGCTTGATCCAAATGGTAAAGGATCTGGGAAATGTTACCAGTGATGCAGAATCAGTTTCTCCCATTTCTCAAAGCTATTTGACAGTTCCAGTATTTGGAGGGTTAACTTGGGTTTCAATTTTAAATTTATTTTTTAAATGCTAGTAAATAGTGCTTGCCTTGTCAAACATTATTGTGTTCAAAGTTTCATCCTAATGTCTTTTGTCCCTTCTGAAAAATAATTTTCAACTTATTTTAAGACTGAACCTGTTGGAATTAAAAGGGTTTTATTTCATTCTGAGCACTTTTTCAATGTGGTACCACACTTGAGTCAGTCTCTGTGTGTCCTTTATTCTTCTGTTTACTTAAACATAATCTGAACCTAAAGCCAGATTGTATTCCTGCTAACGTAAAATAATTTCTATAAATAAATAAACAAGTGAATGCTGGTTTTGAAGATGGAGTAATTCTCTGTTTGTTTCTCTCAGGTCACATTCTGTTAATACTTTACCTAAGCAAAGCTTAGCACTATCATCTGGTGTTTTGTACGTTTCAACAGAGTACACCCTCTTTGTTAGTAGTATGTGTAATTACAGTCTAGTTTGATTAGTAATTTTAATCCAAAATGTAGCATATTGGTAGCTTGATGAATCAGCTTATCAAAAGAAAACATACTTCTTTCACAGGAGAGAGTGTTCCCTTGATAGAGAGATTGCTGCCAGTGGTTATACAAAAGAAATACAGGAAGATGGTGAACTGCTTTACTCACGAAGTTCTGATGAGGATGGTAATACAACAGAGGCATCAGAATTTGTAGAAGATGCTGAAAATAAGCTCAACTTCTTCAGCAAAGATAAAGAAAATAATGCAGACTTCATGTCTGAAGTGGGTGATTTCTCTGGAAGCAGAACCTCTGACCACTTGTATAACAATAAAGAGGCTGACACAACTGAAAGTAGTGAAAATACACGAAGGCTGGATATGTCAAAGTTAAGTTCAGCCTTAGAAAAAACTGAAGAGCAAACCATGCTTTGGAAGTCCAACGAAAGTGCAGAGAGTCCTGCAGTTGCTTTTTTTAAGGGAAAAAGCGAAACTGAAAATGCTGCTGAAGTAAAAAGTAAGACAGGTGGAAGAAGGTGCTCTGATGATAAGGAAGATGAAGACAAATGCCCTGATCTGGCTGACTTGTCAACTTTAAATGAGAAATTCGGGCATTACAGGTAGATTTATATTTACAATCTAGGAGTGTGGTTCCTCCTCTCTCCCCAGTAAATGTAAATCTTTCAAGTAGCTCAAAAAGGACTACTCTTTGGCTACCCTTGTTTAAACTGAAGATTAATAATTCAGTTTATTTAGAAAAAATTGCAGTATCTTTCCTATTGATCTCATGATAGGTAACCTGTTGATAGATACAAATTCTTCCTTTCATATAATACCTGTTTTGAAGAACTAGTCTTAATACTTAAAATGTAATTGTTTTGTAATACTTGCATATTCTATTGGGAGTTCTCAGATTATATCTCAAAGTTAAGACTTAAATTGTGCTCATAAAGGCAAAGGATGTTTATCTTGCTAGTGGAATAAATTTATTTATGTTTTTTAGAAATGAAGAGAGCATCACTTACATTGCTGAGCACAGAACAAGGACTGAAAGTATCACATCAGTAAGAAGTGCTGGGAGCTGCTCAACCATACCAGCAGTAAGTACTATTGTTGTTATGTTACTATCTAGTTTACTCTCAGACCATGTTAAAATGAACACAGCTGTTAGTACCTGTGTGTAAAAATGTTCTTCAGGATTAATTATCTTTAAAGAAGACTGTTACCATGTACCTCTCTGGTTTGCATTTCCATGCCCACAGAAAAATAGGACTGATAGCTGTGTAAGTTTTTATGGGGAATGATTTCCAGATCTTTCCTTCATGTATTGGTCTTTAGTGTTTTACCTAAGCTCTATATCAGCATTAACAACTCTCATTTACCCAATAAGAGGTTAATGTATGTTAATGTACTAACATGTAATCAGTTCATTCACTTCTTTTGCTAGCCACAGTTAATACTACTTAATTTAAAATTGGATGCTTGACTCAAGATTTAATTTGGCCTTTTTCACCTGTTGATACTGAAAATGCAATATCATTGTGTCATGTCTCGGTCCTAAATGATCTTCAGAAAGTTCCGATACTTGTTTGTTTATTTGTAGGAACTGGTGAAAAGGAAGATAAAACGTCAACTGACCAAGCAGCAAAAGTCTGTTCTGAGGCAACAGTTGCAAAAAGGAGAGGCAAATATTTATACCAAGCAACGTCGAGAAAATATGCAAAACATTAAGTCAAGCTTGGATGCAGCTTGTTTCTGGGAATAATTCATTAAAGCTCCCACAGAACATGAGAAAATTCATAATGTCTACAGTTGAAAAAAATTATGCTAATAACCAATAATCCTTCCATATACATAAGCAAATGTTTTCCTGGAAGCTAATAAACCTTATTATGGTTACTGTGATTTTGATTGGGGGATTTTAGTTTGTGATTGTGATTGAAACTGTTGACTGTAATTTAAATGGTATCAGTAGTACTGCCAAGATCACTTAACTACAGCGATTTCCAACAATATTTTTTTAATATATAAATCAGTTGTACTGTGTCTTACGATTTGAAAGTCCTGGGGAGCAAAGGCATCTTTGTCCATTGGGCAGAAACCGGAAGTGTCTTTGCTTCAGCACATCACCAACGTCACTGGCACAGGTTACCCAAGGAGGTTGTGGCTGCCCCATCCCTGGAAGTGTCCAAGGCTAGATTGGATGAGGCCTTGGATGACATGGTCTAGTGTGAGGCACCCCTACCTCACAACACTCCCTGCAGGTGGGTTGGAACAAGATGATGTTAAGGTCCTTTCCAACCCTAACAATACCATGATTCTGTGATCCTGATCAAACACTTTCTCCCCCTGTATGTCAGTGTGTGGAGCAAAGAAGCAATAGGAGTGAGCCCAGACATCTGCCTTTACAGCTAGTTAGCACACAGCAAAAATAAATAATCCAGGGAGGTGGACCCTATGAAAGATTCTGGAGTTAGGGGCAGTGTCTCTTTGGCAGAATTGAGGAGATTCTTTAGGAATATAGTGCATAAACAAACTGCAAAAATTCAGCCCAGGATTCAACTAATTCTGCTATGTAGACAGCTTGTGCATAAGGAAACTGTCTGTAAAAGCAAACCCAAGATGTACTGAACCTTGGAGTCTTTGCAACTTGTAATTGCACAAGTTCTTCTTAATAGAAGTATTTCCTACCCTAGTATTTGAAGACTCTGAATACAAAATTCTTCAATTGCTTTATTTAATTAAAATGTCTGCTACAGTCAAGATATTAAGACATAGAAGTAATTAATTATAGAATCATAGAATGGTTAGGGTTGGGAAGGACTTTAAGGTCATCTAGTTCCAACTCCCCTGCCATGGTCAGGGACACTTCACACAAGACCATGTTGCCCAAGGCTCTGTCCAACCTGGCCTTGAACACTGCCAGGGATGGAGCATTTACCTTTTTGAGCAACCTGTACCAGCGCCTCACCACCTTCACATTAAAGAACTTCTTCCTTAGATCTAACCTGAACTTCCCCTGTTTAAGCTTAAACCCATTGCCAATTGTTCTATCACTACAGTTCCTGATGAAGAGTTCCTCTCCAGCCTCCTTGTAGCCCCTGGGAGTGAGTGAACAAGTTACCTGACTGGGTTTAAACCACGACACCCCCCTTCAGATACTGGAAGGCTGCTATGAGATCTCCATGCAGCCTTCTCTTCTCCAGCCTGAATAGCCCCAACTTCCTCAGCCTGTCATTGAATGAGAGGTGCTCCAGCCCCCTTACCATCCTTGTGGACCTCCTCTGGACTTGCTCGTTACCAGTCTCCAGTTGGACATTGAGCCCTTGACCACAACTCTGCATCCGGCCATCCAACCAATTAGTTATCCACTGAGTGGTCCATCCATCAAATTTACGCCTCTGCAGTTTAGAGACAAGGATGTTGTGTGGGTCAGTGTCAAACACTTTGCACAAGTTCAGGTAGGTGACGTCAATGGCTTTGCCCCTTTCCATCAGTTCCGTAGCGCCATCATAGAAGGCCACCAAATTGGTCAGACAGGATTTCCCCTTAATGAAGCCATATTGGCTGTCACCAACCACCTTGTTGGTTTTCCTGTGCCTTAGCATGCTTTCCAGAATGCCCCAAGAATTTGCCAGGCACAGAAGTGAGACTGACTGGTCTGTGGTTTCCCAAGTCTTCCATCTTCCCCTTCTTGAAAATGGGGGTTATATTACCCTTTTTCCAGTCATCAAGAATTTCACCTGACTGCTGTGGTTTTTCAAGTATGACGAACAGTGGCTTAGCAACTTCATTTGCCAGCTCCTTCAGGACCCACGACCCACAGGTGGATTTCATCAGGTCCCATGGACTTGTGCACATTCAGGTTCTCAAGATGATCTTGAACCTGACCCTCTCCTACAGTGGGCCTAAGGTCTTCATTCTCACTGTCCCTGCATCTGCCTTCCAAGACTTGCGTGGTGTGGTCAGAGCACTTGGCAGTGAAGACTGAGGCAAAGAAGTCATTAAGAACCTTCAGCCTCCTCCAAATCCAGGTTAGCTAGGTGACTTGTATTTGCATGCATATCATAAACCATAATACTATTTTAGCTCCACATCACCTATCTAAACAGATGCTGGTTGGGTTTTAAGTTTTCACTTCAGAAGATTGATTCAGATCTTTTTTCTTAAGATACTTAAATTACATTCTTTGTAACATCCATCTGGTGGTAAAAATTTCTACTTGACAGCCTTGGAAATTTGGTATCGCTTTTCTTTTTCTAGTAGTTTGTTCAGTCTGCTTTTTAACTGGGGTTTCTGTAAAGCTTCACAGTATCAAAACCTTACCAGTTATGTTTATACAGATGCAATTTAATATGCTGCTTCTTGAGCATACAATGTTTTTCTACAAGTAAAGGAATGGGGGTGTGGGTTTGTTTGTTTTTTTTTTTTTCTATCAGACTTGAGCTTAAATGCACATTTCACATTCATTAATAACCTGGGAATAGTGTCCATAGTCAAGTCCATCCCTCGATCACAAGCCCATCTATATGTTCCATCTCTGTCTTGATGGCCTGAGGTGCCATGGGCCCACCAGGCCAAAAATAATTCACCCTTCTGTTGCCATAATAACTAGATAAAATAATACAAAGAACGAAAATTTAAAAAGCTATGCATCCCATGACAGACAGGAAATGATTCAAAATAGAAACAGGAGTGAATAAAAGTATATGTATTTCAAAACGAAAGCAATATAATTAGGTTGATAAATGAAAAAACTAAAAATATGGACAGTGAACTAATGCAGAGACCAAAAAAGCAAATTTAAAAACCAGCATAGTACACAACAGACAAAAAAAGAAGTAAAAAATAGGGATGACAACTTGATAAAAGCCACCATGGAAAGACAATTTAAAAAACAAAGGTAAAAGGACATACAAGAAAAAAGTTTAAAAATACAGACAGTGGACTGGATAAAAAAACACAGAAAATATTAAAATTAACGGGAACTACGAAAATAAAGGAAAAACATAAAAATAAGGGCAAAATTAAACAGAAACAACAAATTTTTAAAGTGATGGGGATTTAGAAAGGAAAAGATTACAAAACAGAGACAAGAAACTACATAGACACACATACACAAAAAAATAACAACCATGTTAAAACAGGGGGAAAAAAAACACACCCCCCCCCCCCATGACCGACAGGACACAAATTAAATATAAAGCTTGATAAAAGCAGACATAGCAACAAAATCTGCAAAATCCAAATGGTAAGAGGGATGAGTGAATGACAGAATAGGCCAAGGGAACCAAATAAAGGAAGACTAAGATAGAAAATGCAAAAAACGAGAGCTGTAAAGAATGCAAGAAATACTAAAAAATAAAGACAGAGCAGTGGATAGAAGCAGACGTGTTATCCGACAGACAGGAAAGGGTTAAAAACGAAGGCGTGAACCCCGCGGCGTTGCCCCGCGGTTGCAAGGGTCGTGTTCGGGGACGCGTCGCTGTGCACAAGGACGCTGCCGTGGAACGAGCGCCGCCACCGCGGTACTATAGCCCTGCTACGGCGCACGAAGCCCTGCGGCGGAGGTGGCGGGCATCAGGACTCCGTTTCCTCACGTGACTCCTCACGTGACACCCCCTCGTTCCCGGTCGGGCACTCTCAAGATGGCGGCGGCAGCGGCTGCGGTCCGGGGTCGGCGCTTTAAGTGGTCGTTGGAGCTGGCGGCGGCGCCGGGGGGGCGGTGAGGCCTGGACAGGAGGGGGGGGGGGAGAAATGACACGTATTTTGTGAGGTCCAGGGGTCTCCCTGTCCTCATCTGCTCCCTTCTATCCCCATACAGGCCCCGCGGAGCCGCAGAGGGCCGTGGGCCGCTGGGGTTCGCCGAGCGGCAGCTGGGGGAGGGAGGTGTCCACGAGAGCGACAAAATCCTCATGGAGAAGGTAGGCCGGGGGGGGGGGGGATGGGGAAGAGGGAAGAAGGGACACCCGCCAGATGCCTAGGTGTTCCGTGGCAGAGTAGTCCCAGTCCCACATGCCCAGGTGCTGTATGGGAGCTGTCCTGTATGTATCATGGACTTCTGTGCTCTCTCCTTCCCTGCAGCGCTGCTGGGATGTGGCACTGGCACCGCTAAAGCAGATCCCAATGAACCTGTTCATCATGTATATGGCTGGCAACACCATCTCCATCTTTCCTGCCATGATGGTTTGTATGATGGGCTGGCGCCCACTGCAGGCCCTCATGTCCCTCTCTGCCAGTGAGTACAGCCCCGTGTGGGTGTGGGTGACAGCTCCCTGGGTGTCCCCACACAACCAGCTCCTGCCACACCACACTTGCCCCACTTACCTGCTGTGGTCCACTGCCTTACATCTTCCCCAGCAAAAGTCATCCCCTCATATCCCGCCACACTTGTTCCTGCAACAGCCCCTGCCCCACATATGTGGGACATTGAAACCTGGACAGGGCTTTTTACAAGGGCATGGCACCACAGGACAAGGGGGAATGGCTTTAAAGTGACAGAGAAGAGATTTAGATTATATATTAGGCAGAAGTTCTTCCCTGTGAGGGTGCTGAGGCCCTGGCACAGGTTGCCCAGAGAAGCTGTGGCTGCCCCATCCCTGACAGTGTTCAAGGTCAGGTTGCACAGGGCTTGGAACAATTTGGACTAGTGGAAGATGTCCCTGCCTGTGGCAGAAGGTTGGAACTGGATGAGCTTTAAGGTCCCTTTTAACCCAAACCTGTCCCACTGCAACAGTTGGCCCTGTGTCACTTACCTGCACGGGTACCCCAGCAGTCATTCCTATGATATGATCCCTCATCAGTTTCTCCACATGTTCCAGAACAGTTGCCCCCATCCTATGCATCCCCCAGCAGTCACCCCAATGTCACTTTACCACCATGCTTTCCCCTACAGTTGTCCCTAAGACAGTTGTATCCATGTTGGTCACTCCTGTGTGTTCCCCAGCAGCCACCCCTGTGCAATCCACCCAGTGCCCCCCCCCCCCCCCCCCCCCCCATGAATCCCCACCTGTCATTACCCCTGGTCCCCAGTGGGGACAGGTCCCCCATCCTCCCCATCTCTTCCTGTCACCCCTGCAGCACTGAAGGCACTGGAGAGCTCAAGCCGGCGGGCACTGCAGGGTCTGGTGTTCCTGGTGGGCAATGGGCTGGGGCTGGCACTGGCTCTCTACAAGTGCCAAGCCATGGGTTTGCTGCCCACCCGCCCCTCCGACTGGCTGGCCTTCGTTGCCCCCCCGCAGGTATGCCCAGATGTCAAGGTCTCCCCACCCCATTTGGCCTGATGGCAAGGTTCCCCTTGGCCTGGATACTGGGGTTCCCACACTTACCCGATTTCTCTCTCTTCCCTCTGCAGCGAATGGAGTTCACTGGTGGGGGCCTCATCCTGTGACCCAATGCACCCACCCACCAATAAAGGTGATGGCAGGCTGGTAATACTGTTTTTGAAGGAATTATGAAGGTTTAGGGGTGCAGCCCAAAGAGGCACGGGTCAGAGCAAAAACTGTTTTTGCTGTCTGCTGGGAACACTTGGAGTGCACTGGAGGAGCACTAAAGCCTGTGCTTGGAGTGCCCTGTGAGCTTTGGGGCATGTACCGGGAGGCTTGGGATTCACACCCAGAGTATGCTGGGGCTGAACTCAGAGCCTTGGGGCCCATCCTGGGAGCCTCAGGGCCTGTACTGGGAGCACAGGGAGCCTTGGGGGTCACAATGGGAGTACATTGGAGCCGTAGTTAGAGCTTCAGGGCCCATATTAGGGTGCATGCTGGGAACACCAAGAATGCACTGGGAGTGTTTGGGTCCATACTGGGATCATACTTGGAGAGCTGCAGCCCAGGCTGGCACTGTACTGGGAACACTCGGTCCATACTGGGATGTTTGGGCTCATATTAGGATCTTAGTTTAAATGTAGCTCATACTGGCATTATACTCAGAGCACTGGGCCCACAGGGGGAGTGTTGGAGCCATATTGGGCTCCCAGATGAAGAGCTGTGACCAAAACTGGCATTGTACTGGGAGCATTGCCGCTGTACTCAAAGTACTGGGCCCATACTGGGATCATGCTTGAAGACCTGTGACTTAGGCTGTCATCATATGGGGAGCACTGGTAATATACTGGAATCATACTCCCAGACTGGCATTGTACTGGGAACACCTGAGCTCATACTAGAACACTGAGCCTGTACTGGGATAACGCTTGAAGACCTGTGGCTCACACTGCCATCATACTGGGAGCACTGGGCCCATATTAGGATGGTGGACAGTGAGTTAGGGCAGTGCATATGCAGTACTGGGATCTGTGAGGCCATACTGGTGTGCTCAGGGCCTTGGGGAGATCCTATCATCCACACTTTGGATGTGACCCCTGACACCTTTTACCACAGAGAAGCCTCAGCCCCTTTGTCAGCACCTCCAAGAACTCCATGTCTGACCTACTCCAAGAGCTTGAACCATGGCTGCCCCTCAACTACCTTCCACTGTCCGTAACTGCCCTGCAGTTCTCCCAGCTGCCCCCAAACTA